GATGTGGGACTCGATCCCGGGACTCCAGGATCATGACCTGAGCCGAAGGCAGTCGCTTAACCAACTGAGCCACCCAGGCGCCCCATGTGACCTTCTCTTAAACCGATTACTTTTTGCAAAGACTCTTTCCAAAAACAGGTTGCATTCCCAGGTTCTGGGTGGACATGAGTGTTTCAGGGACACTGTTCGACCAGCCCGGTGCTGGGGCGCTTCCCACCGATCGCACGCAGGCCCGTACGGGACTGACATGTTTGCCCTCGCCCCTGTCTTCCAGAGGAGGAACAAGTGCACATTCTGGTCAACAATGCAGCTGTGATGCGGTGCCCCCACTGGACCACCGACGATGGCTTTGAGATGCAGTTTGGCGTTAATCACTTGGGTGAGGTCACGGGCTGAGGGCTGCGTGGTGTATCGTGGGCCTGGGATGTGAGTGGGGTTCCCCGGTGGGCCAGGCACGGGCTCTGGGGAGGGCCAGAGTCCTCCTCTGCTCTCCAGGGCAGCTGGGCGGCCCCCTGTGGGGCCACCTGGCGGCTCAGGGAGTTGCCTATTCATTGCTGGATGCTCCGTCGGTTCTTCGGATCCTCCATCCATCTCTTGGCCTTTTGGCCCTTTGTCTGTCCTCCAGTCTGTCTGTCCATCAGTCACTCTGTCTGTCTACCTGTTGTCACCCTGGATATAACTGGAGTTCTGTTAGTAAGGGCAAGGGGGGGAAACACATGTTGGATGGGCGCCAATCACTGGATTAGGGTCCACCCTAATGGCCTCATTTTCACTGTAAAGACCCTCTCTCCGAATAAGGCCACATGTTGAGGTCCTGGAGGGTCAAAATGCACATCACTATCATTTGTGGCCTATTGGCTGGGATGCAGTCACATGACCTGACGTCACTGCAAGGGAGTCTGGGAAATATAGTCTTTCATTGGGCAGTCCTGTGCACAGCCAACAATTCTATTGCTGAAGGAGACATGGGAGGCAGTCGGTCTCCCCAGCTGACCTCATGGGGCTCTTGCAGGGCCTGACGTCTGGGGCTGGGTCACTCTGCTGTGGGCCCATCCTGTGCAGTATAGGATGTCCAGCAGGATCCCTGGCCTCCTCCCACTAGATGCCAGGAGCACCCCCTTTTCTCTCTAGAGTTATGATGACCAAAACCTCTAGACATTGCCAGATGTCCCCTGGGGGAGAGAACTGGCTCCTGTCGAGAGCCATGGATTATTGGGAGGGTCAAAGAAGGTAATGTTCTCAGTACGATCCTAGGTACCAGGTAAGAATTCAGTGAAAATGGTCTTTTTGTTGTCCTTCGTCCAGGTCACTTTCTTTTGACAAACTTGCTGCTGGACAAGCTGAAAGCCTCGGCCCCTTCACGGATCATCAACCTCTCGTCCTTGGCCCACGTTGCAGGACACATAGACTTTGATGACTTGAACTGGGAGAAGAGGAAGTATGACACCAAAGCAGCTTACTGCCAGAGTAAGCTGGCCGTCATCCTCTTTACCAGGGAGCTGAGCCGGCAGCTGCAGGGTACGTGTGTGGTGAGCCTCGCTGGCCTCCTTCTTCCTCTAGCTCTGAGCCTGGAACAGTCCTGCTCTGAGCCTGGGCCCAGGGGAGGTCAAGCAGCAGTCCCAGAACAGAAGAGGCAGACGTGTGACACACATGCCATCATGTTCCCTGGGGCCTGGAGCAGACATCACTGATCGATCGTGGCATTCTTCCGTGCTCACAGGCATCTAAGCCGTTGGTGCTCTGGGCTAGTGGTTCTCAGCCACGGCAATATCTGAAGATGGCTGTGGCCATCGCTTCAGGGAGTGGAGGTGGGGTGGGTGTTGCTACTGGCATCTAGCTGCTCAGCATCCTGCAGCGCACAGGATAAAGAATGATCTGACCTCAGGGTGCACGGAGCTGAAATTGAAAAGTCTGCCCTTTGCCCTGCTCCTCAGAGAGCATCCGTGGACCAGCAACATCAGCTGGGAGCTTGTCATAATTACAGCATCTCAGACCCCATCCCTGACCCACTGCTTCACATTCCCTGGGGGTGGGTAGAGCCCAGCAGTTTGGGTGTCTCAAGCCCTCCGGGTGATTTTTTACATACGCTCAGGTTTGGGAGGCTCTGCTCTGGGCAGTCATGCAACAGAGCGGCTTTGCAAGATGAAACCACTTTGACATGGAAGTTTCAGAGCAAGAGAGGTGATGTGGATTCAAGGGTCGGACCCAGCACAGTACGGGGTAGCCCTGGAGCTGAGGGTGGGCCGTGTCAGCCTTCCAGGTGGGAAGTGAACCTGGCGTCTGCCCACCCCCTCATCCCTGCTCTTCCCTCCTCTCCCCTTCTCTCCCCAGGCACGGGTGTGACTGTCAATGCTTTGCACCCTGGTGTGGCCAGGACAGAGCTGGGCAGGCACACAGGCATGCACAGCTCTGCCTTCTCCAGCTTCACACTCGGTAAGCCACCTCCTGGCCTGGGGTCCCTGAGCTGAACCCCTGCCCTCACAGCTTGGGGGCTGGGACTCTCTTCAGGGTATTAGTCAGGGTTCTGCAGAGAAACAGAACCAATAGGATATATATAGATGCTTGGGAGATTTGTCATGCGGGATTGGCTCATGTGTTTATGGAGGCTGAGAAGTCCTGTGATCTGCCATCTGCATGCTGGAGGCCCGGGAAGGCTGGTGGTGTAGTCCCAGTGCAAACCCAAAAGCCTGTAAACCAGGGGAGCGATGATGTAAGTCCCAGCCTGAAGGCCAGGAGCACTATCTGAGGGCAGGAGATGGATGCTCCAGCTCAAGCAGAGAGAGGGGGAATTTGCCCTTCCTCCACCTTTTTGTTCTGTTCTCACCCTCAACTAATAGCTTGGCTGCCCACACTGGCGAGGGCGGATCTCTTTACTCACTCTACTGATTCCAATGCTAATCTCTTCTGGTCACATCCTCACGGACACGCCCAGAAGTAATGCTTTACCAGCTTTCTGGGCATCCCTTAGCTCAGTCAACTTGACACAAAATTAACCACACACTCAAGAGACTATGTCAGTGGCTTGGCTCTGCCCCCTCCCCTGTGTCTTCTAGGGTACTGAGAATGAGTCACTTCTACATGTGTATCCAGCCTGCTGGCCTCAGAATAGCCCCAGGAAACAGGCTAGATCCTCTTTGATGAGAAAACTGAGTCAGAGAAGGAGACCATGGAGCTGACTCCTGGTTGTGCTCGGGGTGACTCCAGCTTCACCCCAAACTAGCTGTGCCAGCCAGGGAAGCAACTTCACCTCTTGGGGCCCCAGTTTCCCAACTACAAAATGAGGGCCATAATAGTGTCCTCCTCACAGTTGTTGGGAGGATGAGATGGGCCTTAAAAGGGCCAGCACAGGGCCTGACCGGCTTTAAGCTGAATAAATAATTAGAACTTTAGAACTAGTATTTGTAATCCTGAAGATCATTTACAGGGTGGGTGCCAGATACCATGGATCTTAAGCTGAGGCTGGCCCCAGAGACATTTAATAAGTAAAAGTTATTTTAAAGCAAGATGGGGTAGGGTAAAGACTCAGAGCTGACTGAGGAGGGAGAGCTTCCATTTGCCTGGGGAAAAGCCAGGGAGCCTTGCTGGGGGAGGCAGCTTTTGGGCTGGTCTCTGCACCTGGATGGATTTGGCTGGGCAGTGCCTGGGAAGGGAGCTCCTGGTGGAGGGTACCTTGGAGGCACAGGCCTGGAGGTGGGCTGTGTGGGACTGCAGTCCCACATCTGGCCTCTGGGCCCTGGGCAACCCTGGGGGTGGAATAGGGCTTTTCGTGTCCTCCTCCCTGAATGTGTGCTGACTGAATGCTCTGTGGGCTGATTGCAGGGCCCATCTTCTGGCTGCTGGTCAAGAGCCCCCAGCTGGCAGCCCAGCCTAGCACATACCTGGCTGTGGCAGAGGAATTGGAAGGTGTTTCTGGAAAGTATTTTGATGGACTCAAAGAGAAGCCTCCAGCCCCTGAAGCTGAGGATGAGGAGGTAGCCCAGAGACTTTGGGCTGAAAGTGCCCGCCTGGTGGGCTTGGAGATGTCCGGTGGTTCCTCTGTGAGGGGGCAGCCCCTCCCCAAATAACCTCTGGGAGCCTTTGAAAACCACGTGGGAGGCTGAGTACCAGGATGGAGCGGCAAGACCAACCAAGGCTGGCGGCTGTCTGCAGCACCGTCTAGGTGGCAGTATTGGCCAAGGAATGCTGACTGCCATGCCCACGTCACCCTCTAGGTGGCAGTCTTGGCTGTGTGAGCCTCAAGACCACTGCTGTCATGCCCTCAGCCTCCTCTAGGTGGCAGTATTGGCCAAGGAATGCTGACTGCCATGCCCACGTCACGCTCTAGGTGGCAGTGTTGGCTGCGTGAGCTCAAGACCACTGCTGTCATGCCGGCACCGCCCTCGAGGTGGCAGTACTGCCCAAGGAACGCTGGCTGCCATGCGCATACCACCCTGTAGGGGTCACTAGCGGCCCTTTTCTCAGGCACAGTGGATGGGACTGCAGATGCGCACCCGTCGCAACTGGTGCGGTGCGCCCCGCAGCCCGCAGGTGCGCGGGGCCGTCAGACACCTGCCTTGAGCGTGTAACTGGGAACTGCTGAGGGAGGAGTCCGCTCCCTCTGGCGTGGCCGTCAGGAGAGCCTGTGCAGAACTGTACGGCCGTTGGGAAAGTTGTCGGCCACACACGGCCAAGGTCATGGTTCCCCGTGGGACCGTGCACACCCTCAGTTGCCTTTCTGAGCCTCGGTTTCTCCCACTGTGAATGTGCAGAATAACTTGACTACCTCGCGGGGCGGTGTGGTGATGACGGAGTTCTCGCCTTGCTGCTGAATGTTCACTTGCGCGTGCCGTACCCTGGGCGAGCCGCCGGGGTCACCCCTGAGGACAGGCCTTGTAATGCCAGTCCTGCTCGGGACAGCAAGGAGTGAGAAGCCCACCAGCTGCGCAGCTTCGGTGACAGAATCGGGGCTGGCACTCAGCTCCCGCACAGAATGGGGGGCGGGGGCCGCACCAAAAAGCTCAGGAATCAGGATACAAGTATTTTAGCATAACGAACATGTACCATTTGAGATGCTTGTGGAGGCCAGAGATGATGCTCCATGCCCTCCACTACCCAGAACATCAGCCAGTGGCCCTGCCCCAAATGCCGACAGTGCTGAGGAAGGTGGGATTAAAGACGGCTCAAAGTTTTATAAATACGGTGAGTTTTCTTTCTGTTACCACATCAGACCACAGCAGCCGAAGGATATGTCTGGGATGAACGGACTCGGGTAGGCACCTTCTGCGTGGACCCCAACGATCCCCACAGTCCCCTGTCCACGGCCTTCTCACCCTCCAGCTGTGGGCTGGCCCTAGCTACTCACTTCCAGTGCAAAGAACAGAGCAAAGCCGACGGAACGTCCAGTTCTGGGGTTCGGTTACTGACGGGCATTTGTAATGCTAGCTCGTGCTTGCTGGCCCTCACACTGCCTGGCGTGAGCCACCCTGAGGAGAGGCCAAGAGCTGGACAGCCAGAGAAGGTGTGAACGCCAGGAGGTGGGAATCACGGGGGTGGGGTGTTCTGGGAGCCCGTTCACCACAGGGATACACACAACACACACACGAACATAGATCACACGCGTGCACATATCCTTATATAGCATATGCATTTCTTACCGTGGAATTGGAAAAACCACGTTTGAGAAATACTTCTACTGGTAGTACGGTAGTCTGAGGGTAACCGCGAAACCCCTGGTTCTCTAAACAAAGGTACAGGATTTGCCTGGAGGTGATGGTATTTGCTAACATAAGCAAAATACAATGATCAAAGTCAAGAAAATAATAATGATGGTGCTAATATCTGATACCAATCTATAGACATTGGAATTTTATCAGTGATGATGTCCCTTATAGCAAAAAAAACCTCCACAAAATTCTTTTGTGACCCAGGATCCAATCCAGAACCACACTTTGCGTTAGTTGGCATGTCTCCTTAACCTGCTGCAACGGTCTTTCTCTTTCATGAGCTGGACTCCCACCGCTGACGGTGCCCCTTCTTACTTATATAAGTTATGATATAAGTATAAGGTTATACTTATCTTACTTACTTCTTACTTACTTCTGAAGAGTCCTGCCCAGGTATTTTATAGAAAGTGCTTCAGTTTGGGTTGTCTGTGATTTCCTGGTGATTAAATTCAGGCTACGTGTTTTTGGTAAGAATACCACAGGAGTGATGCTGTGTTCTTCGCGGTGCCTTACGTCAGGAGACAGGAGATGTCTTCTTTGTCCCATCATCGGTGCTATCAGTCATGACACCCTGTGGCAGAGGTGCATGGGGCGAAGGGCCCAGAGCCTTGCTGCCCCTGGACACCCCACTCTCTGCACCTCCACGTGCTCACCAGCCCCGGAGCTCCCGTATGGACTTCCTGCCCCCCTGCTGTCTGCAGTTTTGGCGGGTCTCTCAGTCAGAGTCCCTTGTCTTTGCATATGTGGCAAGCGGGCACACGGATGTGATTCGAGCAAGACCAGCCAGACCCTCTCCTTGAATGTGGATCTTGATGGGGCCGACACCAAGACGAGTAACGTGTGTTCCTGTCAGTTCCTGGTCCCTGCACCCTAGCTCCGGTCTGTACGAGTTTCATAGGGCTGCTCTCACAGATGACCACAAACTGGGGGGCTTAAAGCATACACACTTACTCTGTTAGAGTTCTGGACGTCAGATGTCCAGAATGGGTCTCGGGGCTAGCGTCAAGGGCTCAGCCAGAGCTGTGTTCCTGCTGGAGGCTCAAGGGGAGAATCTGCTTCCTGCCTTGTCCAGCGTCTAGGGGCCCCCACATTCCTCGCCTCCTGGCCCTTCCTCTGTCTGCAGGGCCAGCTGTGGTGGGCCAAGTCCTCACACTGCCATCTTTCTGGCTCTCTCTTTCCCCTTTTAAGGAGGATCCCCAGGTGATCCAGGGTCACCTCTGTCCTTTACATCGGCTGGTGAGCAACTGAATTCCATCTGCCACCTTAACCCCCCTTTGCCATGCAAAGTAACGGGTCCTGGGGTTTAGGATGTGGATCTCTTTGGGGCGGCCACTGTTCTGCCTACTACACTGTCCTCTTCAAAACCTGCTTCCTTAGCTTTTCTCAGGGCTGTGAGCTTCCTGGGTCACTTCCCATCAATTCCCTTCTGCTTCTTTTAAGTAGAACCCTCATCAACGGTGTTGCTTGCAAGCAAGTCAAATGAAATGAGCAGATGTTACCACTAACTCCCCACTACTCACTCTAAAAAAAAAAAAAAAAGGCCCAGGGAGGCTTCACCCTACTCCCCGCTGGCTCAGTTGGAAGAGCACGTGACTCTTGATCTCAGGGTTGTGAGTTTGAGCCCCACTGTGGGCGTGTTGACTTAAAAACAAAAACTGATCAAACCCTGGCATGTCTGAGCAAGAAGAGTTGGAATCCAGTCTGATTCAGAAGCCCACATTCGTGGGGGAAACGGGCCTGGATGGAAGGAATGTGAAGCCCAGCCCACTGAGGCGGCGGTCCACACAGGGACTGATCTCTTGCATAGACAAGTGCAACGTGGCTTGGGGTTAATTCTAGCCACAAACCCTCACAACCAACATCTGCTTCCTCTCTGGAACTGAGAAACCCCAAGGACCACAAATGTTGACTCACAAACCACATAACCCCTGCCTTACTCTCCTGAAGGCTTTGAGGTGGCTACAACCCTGAAGAGAGTCCCCAGAGAGATGAAGGATGATTAAAAACAGGCCTAAAAAAAAAACAAAAAACCACACCCAAACCCCCAGAAATCCAGAGAGAGCATTGTGGCAAAGTAATAAGCAGACTGAAGAACCAAATGTACAAGGGTGATGCTTCAGGAGTTTTTGTTTTGTTTTTCCCAAAAAGAAACCTGAGGCGGTGTCAAACCCTTCAGACTGCTCTTTGCGCTTGGGGAATTCTGCCAGGATTCCGTGGGCTGCCTGTGTTTGCTGTGCCGGGAAACGTGCGGGGTGTAAGCTGGGATGACAGTCACACCAGGCATAAGTAAGAAGGGGCACCGTCACAGCGGTGGGAGTCCAGAGGTAAGGCGGGCTTTGTGTTCTGTGATACGGCCAAGCTTCCTCCTGCCGACTGACCATCCGACTGGGGTCAACTTCATCCCAAGGCTGGGTCTCTAGCCAGTCGAAGTGTGAACCCCTAAAAGATCCGTCCAAGTCCAAACCCTCGGCACCTGTGAGTGTGAGCTAATTTGGAAAAAGTTGCTTTGCAGATAAAATTAAATGAAGGATCCCGAGATGAGACCATCCTAGATTATCCAGGGGTCCCTAAATCCAGCGGTAAGTGTCCTTATAAGAGACAGAAGAGGAGGTGACACAGAGTGGAGTGGAGAAGGCCACGTGGAGACAGGGCAGAGAGTGGAACGATGCAGCCTCACACCGAGGCACAGCTAGGACCCCCAGAAGCTGCCAAAGGCAGCACGGGACAGACTCCCCTTGAGCCTCTGAAGGTCGCACAGCCCTCCTGACACCTTCAGTTTGGACTTCTGGCCTCTGGAACTGTGGGACAGTAAATGTTGTTTTAGGTCAGCGGGTTGATGTTAATTGTCACAACAACCAGAGGGAATTAATACAGTCTCTTTGGGGGTCACAGGATGGTTGCTAGAGCTGACGGGGACCACTTGCTTGTTTTCTGTCCGGTGGGAGAGAGAAGGGCTTCTCTTTCTTTTGCCTACTGGGGTTTATCTTCAAACCCATAAAAGCCCCCCAGGGAATGCCAGGGAGTAATGGATGAAAGGCAGGTTCCCCAACACCAGTGCTCTTAATGTTCAGGGCTGGATAATCCTGGCTGTGGGGCAGGGGGTGTCCTGGGTACCGTGGGATGTTGAGCAGCATTCCTGGTCTCCACCCACTAGATGCCCGTAGCATCCCCCCCCAAATTGCCAAATGTCCCCTGGGAGGGAAGTCACCTCCAGGTGAGAACTCCTTGCGCAGACCCGTGTGGACCCCTTTCCAGGCCGTGAACGTGAGCAGCTGCAGGTGGATGACCACGGAAGTAAGCACCAGCCACAGAGCCTCACAGCTGCTTGCTGTCACCTGTGGTATTGGGAAGGCACGGGGGTGGAAGGCAGGCGCTGGGGGATTGAGTGGCTTTAGAAGTCGACAGATCCTCATGGAAACCATGCAAATGGCAATGGGCGGTCCCGCTGAAGTCAGGCCAGGGTCTCAGGGTGACAGCAGCAGAGGAAATGAAATCTGAGATCTGGGATTGGGTCATTTGTGGGGACAAACCTGAAAATGTTGAACTCCCAATTCCCCTGAGATGCCCTTGCAATGAGAGACCAGCCTCTCTTGATCGGAGGTCACCGTTCCTCCGTAAGCAGGTGTCTCCTGGGATGCTACTCATTCACCTCAAGACCTGCCCCTACCACTTCCATTGCCTGTGGCAGATCCCAGCTCATGCTCCATGAATTGTAGGGTCTGATGTGTTTTGGCAGGAACATGGGGATCACTGCAAGTGGATCTCGAGGGTGTTAGACGGGGTGGAACATGAGACAAATGGGAGGAATCCATGGACATGGGGTCACTCACCTATGATGAAGATTTTATCTAATATTTTGGGCTTTCTGAGTAGCTGCAAACTATGGCAAATGCATAACTATGGATCTCCCACATAATGCCTAAAGACAGATCAATATCAATACCCCTGTTCTGATGATGTATTGTGGTTAACTAGGAGAATGTCCTTGTTTGCAGGAAAAAAGATCAGTATTTGGGTGAATTACATCAGTTCTGCAACAGTCTCAAATGGTTCAGGGGGGAAAAAAAAGCTTCTTTGTATTGTATTTATATACTCTTCCCGAAGTTTGTTTCAAAATAAATAAATGGAAAAGAAAAACAATGCAGAATTACAAAACAGCACAAAACCACATCTCCCCCGGAGAAGAGAGAGAATGGCTGCACTTCAAAATAACGCCAAGTAAAACGAAAAGGCAAAAAAAACCTCACCAATTTCCAGTGAGCAAGCGCTCATGCTCTCACTCTTTTCATGTTTTTTATATTTCAACCATGTGAATGTGTTACTAGAATAAAATCAAGTTCCATAAATAAAAGCAAAGGGATGCATACATGTGGCAAGATACTATCATGTACGTCTGCATCTTCTTTTTCCATTTAGCAATAGATCTTGAAGATCATCTGTATCGCTACACAAAGATCGATCACATTCTTTAA